AAAAAAATTATTACAATAATAATTTACTTAAAAATATATATATAAATAATTTCCAAAGATCATTTCATTACTAATTATTTCCAGTAATTATCACTCATGCAAAATGATGAGGTCATGTTACAATGTAGTTTGAACTGTCTATAGTTGATATAGTTATAATTTGTACTGTACTCACTCTCAGGAGTAATGGATATTTACAGATCCTCTGGATGGGTGCAACCAAGTAGCCCTCCAAAGGAACCTCTGTGTTCTTCCTGCCGCCCAGCAACATGCAGTTCTTAAGAGATAAACAAGCAAAACTAGTAAGAAAAAATCAAAATCCTCTGTGCAGTCGTTTATAACACTATATACTGTACTTGCATTTGAGTCTCAGAGGGGTGACATGTTTCCCCCAAGGTCATGGCTATAAAATTGCCATTAAATCAAATTCAGTCACAGCCGTATAGCCACCACAGCGTGAGTTCAAAGACTTAGGAAGCAGTAAATCTAAAAGTGCTCGCAATCCTACTGTATAGGTTACCAACATTATCCTGTCAAGAACACCAGTGGTTATATTTCTGTTTTTATATTAACACATTAATTTATCTTAATTTCAAAAATACAGCAAACAAACATTAAGAGCATAAAGAGCTTTTAATACAACAAATAAAATGTCAAATAAATTACCCTAATAAAATGAAGAAAAAAACATTTACACTAATGCACTTACAAGAGACATCTATAGATCAATTAGTTGCACTGGAATAAATGTCAAAACATACACGTTTCTATATTTCTAAAGCAAATCCACAACATAAAGCTTCAAAAATGTGAGTGTGCAGCTTGTCTTCTAATGTATGTATGCATTTTAGTGTTATAGAAGGGTCAGTGCTTGCTTGCATTACATTACAAAGACAGAGCGTTGAAGGACACTCCTGTCAGCTCAGCCAGAGGAAATGAATTTGTGTCGGACTCACAGGAGGTCATAAGATATAGTATTACAAACACGTGCCACCAGGCCCTCAGTGTTAGACCTGACCTTGACCCGGTCCTGCCCATTAACAATACCCATTAATGAGCTATCCGTCCAGGGACAGGAACAGGAAATGTGTCCAACAAATACATCTTTATTCATGTGTTTTAACGCAAATAAATAAAATTAAATAAAATAAAATGGAGAGAAGAGAAGAAATTGTTGAATAAAGTCATTATTTTTGTTTTCTT